CTCTCTGTCTTTCTGGCAAGCACTTATGCCCTATAGCAAAAATCTCTCCCCCCCAAAAAAAAGTTTCTTTCCTCAGTAGTTATATCATTTTCCTGTTCCTTAAAAGCCACTTAACAAGGCCTTGGGCTCCTAACCTATGCTGAACAACTTTGAACTCCTATGCAAAATAAAAATAATCCTGTAATATAATTTTTTTAAATTATCATAAGGCATGTGTATATGTGCACACAAGAGATGGAGAGAAGAAAAAAACCCTGGTAGAGAAACAAAGCATCCCCCAGTGAGGCCTAATTATGCCATAATCCTTTTAACTCTATTTCTAAAAATCCATGGGGGCCAGAAGGTAGCACAACAGTTAAGATGTTGGATCCAACATGGTGGACCCTGTAGTGCGAGTCCTAGAACTGGCGGCTTGAAAAACACACCTGGGCCTACATGTGTGCGTGCTCAAGGTCCTGAGAAGAAAATGGAGGAAAAAGGACAGCAGCATGGCCATTTTTTTGGAGCAGTGATTTTTTTCACTTTTCCTCTCTTTCCGTCTCTTTCCAGCAAGTATATGTGCTCTATGGCAAAAATCTAAAAAAAAAAAAACAAAAAAAAAAAATCTAAAAAAATGCAAAAGAAAAAGAGAAAAACTACAGGCTATGTTGAATAAGAGCTCATTAGAAAAATAAAAACCAATTTTCTCTGCAATCTTTTGCTAAATGTTACTACATGCATCACCTTGTCATAATATGTGGTATTATTAATTAAAATTGTGTCTGTGCTTTTTAGAAAATATATAATACTTTAATCAAAAGAAGAGCAAGGTCAGAGTCAAATGCACAGGATGGAAAAGGGATTAAGAGACAGGAGACTGCCAAGATTCAGAGCCTTTTTCACATCAGCTAAGCTGCTTCATCAGTCATCATTACAGTAATAAACCAAGCACTTTAAAATTCATAATACAATTCTCATCCTGGACAAGATGACCTCTTTAGACACAGGGGAAAAAAAGCCTTTACCTCACTCCACTGAAAGACCCATTTATTATTTTCAGTATCAGAACTATCTTAGATCATTTAGTTCCTGTTGCCTTCTCCCTGACTGTTCAGTGTTGTGTCCATTCAGATCATTAGCACTTGTAACTGGCATCCAATCCAGAAATTTCCAAGAACTAAAGTTGGATCAAAGGGGAATTTTCTACTTTTCTTCCTGACTGTGACATTAATGATGTGGGACTCCGGCCTTCTCTCTCACATCTCCCTCCCTTTACCTTCCTCTTCATCTAAGACCTACACAGCTATGTTTTTTCTCTTTCTTATACTCAGGCAGTTGGATGTAGGAAAGTAAGCACATACTTACATGTACCAAATGCAGGTGACTACCTCACCCATTACGGCCTTCGCAGTTTCTGCCCCTCTGTCATCTTGCAAGGTCAGCTTCATCTCCCAACCCTTTCTCCCTCGCTGATGTGCAAACTTCCTGGCTCCATCCTCTCTTCCACCTCCCCCACAGCAGGAACTCTATGTCCTACTCTCCAGCAGCAAAGGTGTCTGCATGACCAACTCTTGAGACATTTTTCCCTCTTAGGTCAGAGGAAGGAACATAAGTAATAACACAGTAACAAGAGTCATGTGCACAATGCGCTCATGTTCCTCATCGACATACTTTAGTGCAATTTTTCTGTAAACCAAAACCCATTCTAAAAAATCACCAATTAAATATCCAAAAAAAAAAAAAAAAGGAAGTCTTCATAAAGACCTATTTGGACATATAAAACATGAAAGCATCTGTCACCCATGAACCTATACCACAAGAAATGCTAAAAGAAGTCTAAGAAGAAGGAAAATACTACTAGGTGGAAATATGAATCCATAAACAGGAGTGAAGACTATTAGAAATGATAACCAGATAGCAAATATATTTTTATTATTTAAACTTCCTTAAAGTTGACTTTAAAACAAAAATTTATAAAACAACATAATGGGGTATATACAGCATATGTAAAAGCAAAATACTTGATAGTAACAGCACAAAATCCAGAAAGGGAGAAATTAATATATATATAGTGACAAAGTTTGGTTGTTTTATTTTTTAATTTGCCAGAGAGCACACGAATTCACTAAAGAGACAGACAGAAAGCAAGAAAAGCACTACCCATAAGGAATGGTCATGCCACAATGCCTTCTCCTCTATCTCTCCTTCCCATCAGGATTTTAGGAATGCACATATGTACCTGGTATGTGCAAGGTTCTTACACTAAATGAGATGGGTATATCATTTGATAATAGTTTGTGATGTGTTAAATATGCATACTATAAACCTTACAACAACCACTAAAATAACAGAGTTACTGCTAACAAGCCCACCAAAACAGACAAAATGGGTTCAAAAAAGTCTCAATTAATACAAAGGAGGACAGTAAAAAAAAGAAGGTACCAGCTGGTAGTGGTGGCTACACAATAATGCCAATGTACTTACGTAGACACTTAAAACTGGCTGAAATGGTAGGCCATCCAGTGGCCTGGTGGTTAAGGCAGCTGGATTCCACATGGCCAACAGCATAAGTAGAGTCCTGGTCCAGTGGTTTGAAAAGCACACCAGGAGTGTGTATGTGTGTGTGTGTGTGTGTGTGTGTGTGCCCAAAATCCCAAAAAGGAGAGACAGAAGAGAAGGAATTGTAGTATGACTATCCCCCATTGGGGATGCTTCTTCATATTCTCTCTCTGTGTCGCTATGGCAAGCACAAGTATACTCTAGCGAAAAAAATAAATAAATAAAAATAAAAGGGTGCAGCAGGGAGCACAGGTGGTTAAGGTACTGGATCCCACATGGCTGACTCCAAGGTTCAAGTTCCAAACCCAGCAACCTGAGGAAAATGGCAGGTGCACGTGTTCCCTGCCCAAAATCTCAAGAGAAGAATGGAGAAAAAGAGATTGCAGTGTGGCCATCCCCCCAGGGATGATGTTACCTCTGTCTCTCTCTCTCTCTCTCTTCCTCTTTCTTCCTCTCTCTCTCATGAGTGAACCACCCTATAGTAAAAAAAAAATCTTTAAAAAAAAAGTCTTATAGGTTAAAATGGTAAATTCTATGTTGTGTATATTTTACTACAAAAAAAGTGAAAAATTAAAAGGAAAAAGAGGAGTTCCTACAATATCCAGACACACAATTGCTAGCTTTCACGCAGTATAGAATTGGCACTTGCCATGTCTGTAGCAACACATGTAAAAACAATTTAAGCAAAGAAAGAAAGAAGAAATACTTCATTTTTATGCTTTAAAATAATTTCTATGTCCAGCCAGGTAACACAGTCCATAGCAAGCTGCATGGCCATGGGTGCTAGAAGCCATGTAGCTGACCAGTTATGACCCCCCGTTGGGCCTGAAAACATGTTGGGTGTGAGTATGCAAGCCCAAGATCCTTACAAGCTGAAGAACTATCACGCTTACACCATGACAAAACACAGTTGAGGGTGTTTCTGTCTTTCTGTCTCTTGCACATACATTATCATGGGTAAAATAAAATAAACTTAAAATAAAATGTCTCATGGGGGGGAGCCAACAGGTGGTATGGTAGTTAAGGTCCCACAAAGTTGACAGTGGTTTGCCTCCAGGGCAAAATGGCTTGAACATCATGCCAGGCACTTGTGTGTGTGTGCCCAAAATCCCAAAAGGCAAATGGAAAAGAAGGGATTATAGCGTGGCCATCCCCAGGGGTGATTTCCCTCTCTCTGTATTTCTGTCTCCCTGTGTATCCTCTGTCTCTCCACTGAGTACATGCACTCTATGACAAAATCCTTAAAACAAACAAACAAACAAAAAATTCTAATAGGAAGTCTAAAGAATTGCTTTGTGTTCTTTAAAGTACCTTTCAAATTTTATTAGTGACTTACAGAAAAATAACTATACGACACTATGTGCCCATTTCAGGATGAGATTAGCTGTTCTGCTAAAAACCACAAAGTGAGTTCTAGAATTAAAAATGAAAGAGGCTATGGTTTAGCTTTTATAGTATCTTGTGCTAATAAAAGCCATAAGCAAAAAAATACTAAATTTAAGTTAGAATTGTGACCTGAATTATAACCACATCGACTACATGGGAGTACACCTTTAACCACTATGCCACCTGCCGGCCTCCAATAGGACAATTTTTAAGGAAACTAGTCCATAACTTTTGATGATATACAAGCTCATACATGGGGTGGGAAAATAGTATTAAGTACCTTCTTAGTGCCAGGCACTTATGAGGGATTCAGTAACACGGCCCCCTGCCCTTCAGCACCCATATGATCTGCCGATCAGACTCAACTCCCTCTCCTGAAAAACTTCCTTTGCTTTTTGCTAGGTGTCAACTAAAAGGTCCCTTCCTTGAAGAGCCTTTTATTTTGTTATTCTAAAGCTATCCTAGAGTAGCTCCCTTTCCTTTCTTTATAGCACTTTTTACAATCTCTATTATTATTACATGATTATGATTATTGCTTTTATTATTTTATCCCACTCACATTAGGAATGCGAGCTCTATAAGTGAACAAATCCCGTCTGCCTTCTTTACCACTGTACCCTTGGTGACTAGCACAATAGTAGATGACCATACTAAAATAACTTATTTTAATTTTTTTTTATGTTTTGTTTGTTTGTTTTTGCCATAGGATGTATGCACTTGCCAAAGAGAGACAGAAAGAGAAATTACCCCTCCAGTGAGGACTGCCATGCCACAATCCCTTCTCCTCCATTCTCCTCTCGGGATTGTGGGCAAGTGTATGCGTGCGTGATGCACACACACACACACACATCCAGTGTGAGCTTCAAGCCAAGTCTGGGACTAGAATTATGGTTGGTCATGTGGAAGTCCAGCACCTTAACCACCAAGCCACTGCTGGACCCAATACTTATTGAATAAATAAAAATATGAACTGTAACTCGGATAAGCTTCATGATGACCTATACTTCCCGAGGTTAGTTAGTCCCAAATTCCCAGATTTGCTCCCTTAGGCATGAAGGCATATACTGGGTACTCACCTCTATCTGAGTAACATTGATGACCAGCACCACTACCATCAATACTGCAAACAGATAGCAGAAAATTCGTAGTTTAGAGAAATGGGTCCACATTGTCCAGCTGTGTCTTGATCACCCATGGCCGACACCATGCTACCCTCACTCCTCAGAACTCCATGTCTTTATTTTGTGACCTGTAGATGAGCTTTCTGCTTCGTTTGCTTCATGCTGCTAGTAGCCTTATGAGCTCTTTCGGTAGAAAAGAGACTGCAGTTGATTCCAGAAGCACATCTTTTCTTCAATGAACTCCTTCAAAGAGAGAAGATGAGAGAACATCATCAACTGCAATAGCCTGGGGTAGAGTAAGAGGCAAAACACATTTCTTTATCCAGAGTCATGAGATGAGAGCAAACAGCAGAGCACGGTAATACCTATTCCACTTCCAGACAACCTCCTCAAAGTTTCCTCACCCAACTCGAGGTTTCTATGTAAATATAGTATTTGTCCTATTACCTGTTTAAGTTTTAACTTTTTTCCCCCAGGGAGATTTTTGCTATAGGGCATGTGTGCTTGCCAGACAGAGCCAGAAAGTGAGAAATCACTCCCCAGGAGAGATGGCCACATCACAATTCCTTCTCCATTTTCTTCTTGGGATTTTGGGCATGCAAACACATCCAGCATGAGTTTTAAGCTGCCGGGTAATGGGATTAGACCTGCGGTCAACTACCTGAGAGTCTAGCAATGTGACCATTATGCTTAAGATTTAACTTTTAGGAGAGCAACGAAGAATGTCTTCAAACTCATAAACTGCAAATAAAATTATTAAATTTCTACAGAGATCTAAGTAAATAAAATCACTTTCCTTCCCTTATATTTGTTATATAACAATACCATATTAATTATATTTAAAGAGCTTAGGGAACCAGCAGTTAGCGTAATGGCTATGTCACTGAACTCCCACGTAGTTGACGGCGGTTCGCACCCTAGACCCGGTGGCTTAAAACTCATGCCGGGCGCGTGTGCGCCCAAGATCCCGAGAGGAGAATGGAGGAGAAGGGATTGCGGCGTGACCATCCCCCCAGGGGGTGATTTCTCGCTTTCTGTCTCTATGTCTCTCTCTGTCTGTCTGGCGAGCACACGCACCCTATAGCAAAAAAAAATCTCTCCAAAAAAAAAAAAGAGCTTAAAGAGGAGCCCTTGCATTTTTATGAGGAGTACTGAGACGTTTTACAAACCACTGAGACAGTCTCCAGAAAACAAGGAGTGCCATCTCTCTGTACAGCAGGAGACGGGAAACATCCTTTCGGTTTCCGGCTCCCCCACATCCGTGGCCCCGGTACTACTTCAGATGTGTAACAAAGTGCAGGAGGACAGACACTGGCCCTGAAGATGTGGAGTAGGAAAGTTAAGTTTGAGGATAACTCCTTCATCACACCTATGAGAGGCAGAGGACTTCAGAGTCTGTCACTCTTAACTGTTCTCCCACTTAACGAGTTCAAAATGCTTTCTCCAGTTGCTATTTTGGTATAAACAGAGGAGGTCTTAGTGCTTTCTTCCAAGGGAGACTTTCCATGGAGGTCAGAATATAGAGGTAAATAAGGAAAGGGTGCACAGTCATGGTGCACAGTGTACCAGAATGACTCAGCTGCATCAACGCTTCCGTCAGCTTTGTGCTGGACCTGGCAACTCCTGATTTTTTTTTTTTTTTTAATTTTGCCAGAGAGATGGAGGTGGGGACGGGGAGCATGTTCCAAGAGGGATGATCACACTGCAATCCCCTTTCTTTCATCTCTCCCTTCTTTTGGCACCCTGAGCACACATGCAATCCCAAGTATGTTTCTCAAGCAACAGGGTCTAGAACTCAAACCACACTGTCAGCCATACATGTATGACTCAGCAGCCGAAGCCATCATGTCACCAGCGGGCCCACCCATTTCCTCACTGTACTACTCCACCTCTCCGAACCATTCCCAACCACAAGGATCACACCAACACTTTTCCAACTCAGTTAAAGAAAGAAGACAAAGCTGAGCTAATCCAACATGCTCTCTGTCCTCAGAACTGCCATGGCACTTATTATGTGCACTTCTCACCTATCTCTATTTGTATGTCTTTGTCTCTCCAACTATACTATACCAATTGTTACTTTATTTAAAAAACACACATACAAAATTAAAAAAAAAAAAAAGCCACTTCCAGGGAACTGGATCCTACACTGTTGACTTCAGTTCAAACCCTAGCCCAAGCAGCTTAATAAACATGCCAGACACACATTCACATGTGCCCCAAATCCTGAAAGCATGGGGAAATGGAGGTGAAGAGACAGCAGCAAGACCACACCCTGCTGGGAGAGCACTTTTTCCTTCTCTCTGGCGAATGGCCATGCCCCCTGGCAAATTAAGAAATAAACAGAAACGGACACATGAGAGAAAAAGCAACTTAATAATACATGGTACTTTTTGGATTCCCTGATGACATTTCTCTCTTCGCATGGTATACACTGATTCAACAGTCCATGCAACAGAAAATTATGGCAGGCGGCTCCAAGGCCTGGTGGTTGAAGCGGCCAGATCCCAAGTGGCCAACTGATCAGTATGAGTTTAGGACCCAGTGGCTTGAGAAATACGCTGGGTGCACAAGCAAGCATGCCCAAAATTACAAAAGGAGGAGAAATGGAGAAGAGCCTGCAGCATGGCCATTCCCCATGGGGGATGCATTCCTCTCCCTCTCTTTTTGTCTCTCTCTGGCAAACACGTGCACCCTCTGACAAAAAAAAAAAAAACAACAATCATAATAAATTATGGAGGCCTACTCTACTATACACCATACTAAGAAATTCCCCTTGGGGGACCAGCAGTTAGCGTAATGGCTATGTTGCTGGACTCCCATGTAGTCGACCACAGTTCGCGTCCCGGACCCGGTG